GTTATACCATCCCAGTCAAATGGTTGGCCAGTCTATTTTTGAAAACCTCCAACGATGGAGCACCCATAACTCCAGGAGCCAAACTATTCCATTGATTAGGTGTTGTCACTTTTAGTTTTAGCTGTTAAAGGAGGTCGAGGTTGGAGGGCAGAGGGGAGAGATCTTGAAAATATATTCTTAAACTGTATAATTCCTAGCCTCCCTGCTTTTGAGGTCTATATATATATTTATAAAGTCGCTATATATGGTATATTTGAGTAAATATCCTGGGGGACTGTCCATACATTTTGCCCACTAGAGGTCTCCAGAGACTATCAATGTTATATTTCAGAATTTTTTTTTTTTTAAAGGAGAGACTAGAGTAATGATTATGGAAGAATGTCACAATATTTGGGACCAATTCTGATTAATTTTGCAAGAAAGGACAGAAATTCTTTATGTTTCAAATTTTGAAACTACAATAAAATAGATTTTACAATGGCTATCCTAGCATCTCTTATACTCCTCTCGATTAACAGGATTCTAACCCACTCTAATTATAGATACCAAGAAAAGCATCAGTCTTGTTTCTATTCTCTCTCTCTCTCTCTCTCTCTCTCTCTCTCTCTCTCTCTCTCTCTCTCCTTATGTTTATGCCACTTATAAGCCATCACGCATGGCAACTCCCTGTAAGACCCTGGTAATTTAGGAAACACTGCTATTGACACTTCTGTAATTACTTATTAATTTCTTCATCTTTAACTGAAGTGGTGAATTTGAATTGGGAAATCAAGCTTAATCTTTCTTCAGAAAGATTAAGCTTGATTTCCCAATTCTTGGCAAATGTGGGAAGAAGATTTAAATAAAAGTAAACAAATTTCTGATATTTTCTGACTTAGCAAGTGGGTTCATTTCCCAATAAAGCTCTGTACTAATATTATGGTTCATCCCATAGGTTTATCCACCTATCGAATCCTTCCCAAGGACCCGGGGTAGGCAGATGTGGATATTTGATGGTGTTAAAGGTATTGTCACCAATGTAAGCTGTTCCAAGTAAAGCTGCCTTTTGCAATTGACTGGTGGTGATTTTGTCAATGTGTATGGTGTTCAAGTGGTGCTCCAGATGTTTTGGGATTGCATCCAAAGTGCCTATCACTATTAGCATTATCTTTGCTTTCTTTTACCACAGTTGTTCTACTTTTATTTGCAGGTTTTTGTATTTTGTGATTTCCTCCAGTTCATTCTCTTCTCTTCTGCTGTCTCCATGTACTACCACATCCACTATCCAGATTTTTTAGTCTTTCTTATTGACAATTGTTAAGTCTTGGTATTATTATTGGAAATGTTAACATTAATGTGCTGTAATTTAATAGAAATTTAAATTAGCAGTCACTTAACTCTGCAAAATCATCTTGATTTAAAGACTTGCCTAGTTGTAAGAAAGTTATTAGAAGGGTTATTTATTTATTTATTTATTTTATTATTTCAATTTATATCCCGCCCTTCTCCCGAAGGACTCAGGGCGGCTCACAACATTATTAAAACAAAGAAAGACCCACACACCCCACCGAATAAAACCAAATTAAAACCAAAATTTTTGTGTTGTGATAATTAAAATTTCTAAAAAACCCAGTTTAAAAATCCTCCCTAGGCCA